AATCTTTTTAAAACTACAAGTCAGCTTTATGTTTACATACCTTTATCTAACTTAATTACACGATGCGGTTCTAATTCATTTCGTGTGCACATTTGTACATTATTTAAAATGACCATATCAAATTCCAGATTTCTAGCTATATTTAGGGCTTGTTCTTCATTCATATTACCATATATGAAGCACTCTATGTATATTTTATGGATGAACATGTTTATAAACTTTTTAGTTTCTTCAATAGTTATATCTGCATAATATTATAAAAGTCTTTAAGTAATAATAATTGTTTAACATCTCATTAAATCAGTTTAAATCATGATTTAATATCAATTATCTAAATATATATTTGTTTATTTTTAATATACATGCAATATACTAAAGAAGTCATCTTAAAAAGAAAGAACATTTTGATAGAAAAGAAATAATATTGTTATAATAATTCTATCTTTCTTCATACTTACAAGCACTAGCTTTTAATATTTCTTCATATGTGAAGAATTTCTCCGATAATATAGATGAAAGATAATAAAATGCTTGTTCCATCGGTCGCAATCGTTCAAACGATTTTAATTTCCTCATAAACTATAATTCATTCTTAATAAGTATAATTATAATTTATATTATATCATAATTTATTTTAATTGCAATTTAAATCTGTATTTTTTATTTTTTCATACATACATGATGCTTGATACTTTGGAATCTTTTCGGACAAATTTCTAAATTTAATATTTTAGAAATTATTTTTGATAAATGTCTTCGGTAATTCATCGATGTATAATTAATTACTTCAAGCTAAAAAAACAATTCATAATTGTATAAAATAATAAATAAATTTTAATTAATTTATTATTTAAACAAATTTTTTATATGTTTATTAGAGATATTTATTGAACTGACATTGTTATATGAGAAAAAATAAGATAAGCAAATTTATGAATAACAAATGATAAATGAGACATAATGTTTTGCTTACAAATATCTCTTTATTTGAATAAGAATTTTTTCATTGCAAGCAAATAATGTCCTTAAATATAATTTTTCTAAAGTACCTTATTTGAATATAACATAGTATCATTAAATATTTGTAATTACATTTTATTCTTAAAAAACAAAATAATTTTATTTTACGTTCTTTAATATAAAATATTCTTTTATACTATAATACGTATTCTTATTGAAAGAAGTATTTTTAGTGGAATTTAAACATTTTATATAGTTGTATCTTTTTAAATGTTAGTCTTATTAAAATAAAGAAAATAATCTCTGAAATTTAAAATACAACAAAAAAAAGTTTAAAATACAAAATATATAATTTATACAACTAGAAACTTTAATTCTATGCAAAGATTGCACACAATGTTAAATAATATTATTATTATTATTTCTATTTTATTCTATTTACTTACCAATATTCCATATTTTGTATTTTTAAGTTTCCAATCTAACACATTTTTAGGGAAATATTCGTCTTCTTTGATATTATCTTTAATTAATTTTACAAATATAATATTTAAGATATTATACAAAGGGATTTTGTTAACATATGGACTATAAATCAAAATCATCAAAAATAAATATGCATGATTAAATGATATATATTTATCTACAATAGAAATAATTGAATGTTCAAACTTATCATGCGTACCTGATAAAGTGAAAGAACATTTTAGAATTTTGTTCTACTTGGGAATTGCTTTGAAACTGCTCTTGAAACATATACCAAAGTTTTAAGACTGGTGTATCTATTATAATCGTAGGTATTTGAAATAATTCTGCCTGCAAAATATATTTGATATTATTATATATAATAATATTGAAATAAAAAATGCAACATGATGTTATAATCATAACAGACTTGTTATACTAAAGCAAATCAAAAACATAAAATAAATTTGTTCTACATTATATATTGAAATTTCAAAAATTAACAAATAAAAATAGTCTCTATTTTCTTATAATTTTGAATGGCCTTTAATTTATTTATGTAAGATGAAAAAAATGGTTTGACTGAAGTATCTAATAATTTTATCAGAACAAATAAACAAATTTTATATTTCTCATTTTTTCTATAACGGAATTTATTATATTTTTATTTTATAGATGCTGTTGAAATAAATTTAATATATAGCAAAGAACCATTCAAACTTAAAAAAATTTATTTATTTATTATTATTAAAAATAAGAAATAAAATTATAATATAAATTTTTTATCGTGTCTGAAACATATATATATTTTTTAAAGCAATATCTTGTATGAAATAGGTTTATGCATATTTTTTATTGAGTTGTTTTATATCACACTTATGTGAAAGAAATTCTTAATTTATAGTAAAAAATTTTAATCTTTATATTTATTTAAAAAAAAAATTTAATTTATATTTAATTTATAAAAATAATTAAATTAACAGAAAGATTTAATATAGTGCACTTAAATATTAATATTATAATAATTACATTTGTAGTTTTTTGAATTTTTGGTAATTGAAAATGTAGACAAGGTAAACTTAATGTTGAGCAAAGTTGTTCCTTCAATAACTTCTTTAATTCTTTTCCTATTTTTGATGTCTTGTATTTTATATTATCCCATTTTGGTGTATTTTTAAATTCCATAAGCTTAGGTTTTGAATCATCATGATTCATGATCACATAAATTCTAATGGTTTTTGGGCATATGTAATTATTTAATATGTCTTCAATTATGCGTATAGTATATCCAAATTTTCGAGAGTATTTATTAAATAAGATATCTTCCATTGGGTATGCATGCATATTTTTAACTATCGTTATCATTTCTTCTTTAAGTCCAAATTTTTCTTCAAATAGTTTACATTCATACATCTGCGAACATAAAACTTTATACATAAACACAATTATAAGAAATCGCCGATATAATAACGACTTCTCAGAGATTCTATACTCTTATAGTTCGTTTCATTCATTACATTGCTTAATATTTCCTTCAAAAGTGATTGTCCATCCTCTGATGTTAGATACTTCTGCGTGAACATATTAAGATACTGAAAAAATAATGCTACTATTTCCATGATATGTAAAATCGCTTTTGGTGTCAGTTTAATAAGAACTTCGAAAAAACTTAAGCCTCTGGCTTCGTAATGTCTGTGAGTATGGATGTGGTCAGACAATTGCATACATTCTAATTGATCCCGTAGTGTATAAGCATCATTAGATTCTAGGAGATAACTAATCAGCTTTATAGCCTACATTAACAAATAATAAATAAAAACAAATTAGACTGAATTATTTGTATTTAAAGTATATTTAAAATATTATAAATAGAAATGCAGAAAATTTTAATTTTCCAAGAAACTTCTATGTATTTCTAATAATAGTAGTATTTTTGTTACTATGTCTTTGATAAATAGAGATTGACTTTTCTGTAGCAATTAATATGTAATTTTATGACAAAAGAAACACGAATATTACAAAAACACAATAGAAATAAAAAATATTTCATAAATTATAATTTTTTTACTATATAAAATTAATAAATAATAAATCTAAATAATAAATGAAACGTATATATATGATTACATGAGAATTAGTCGATATTAATCAATGTGACATTTGTAACAAGCATCAAAATATATTAAAATAAATTATATTACCTGAAACCAACAATTTCTTTTCCAGCTGGGTAAAGGAAATAACAATTTCAAATATTTGTCAGAAAAATCTGTATAAATATCCCATCGAGTACAAAAGTTATCTTGAAATGGATCCATATAAAATAGTCGAAATGTAACGTTCTTGTTTCGTATCTGACAAAATGCTTCTACTATTATGTTTTCAAGCAGATGCAATGGATCTAAATATAAATTTTTATTTAATTATTACACATTGTGTAATCGACATAACTAATAAAATATTAGTTTTAATATATTTTATGTTTATTATTGTTAATTATACGTATATTAATTGTCTCTTACAACCACTAACGACGTAGAGTGTCATAAGATTGGCAGAATAATATTTGTCTAAAAAGTTCAATACATTTTTTCTGATCTCTTTTAGAGACATTTTTTTTAATATGTCACTGTTGCACAAAGTACTATTTGAATAAGGATGATAGGATTTGACCATAGATCTTTCAAAATATTGAAACCAAGTCAAGAAATTTAATAATTCTATTTTTTGATTTGCATCAATCATTTCTATTGTCTTCTCAAACCAATAGCAAAGAGGTGTTATGAAAAATTGAACAAATTGGTCTATGGCTTCCTTAAAAATAGAATCATCTGTTTTATTCATTTGGAAAAAGAACGTGGTATGATCTGATGTTGTCGTTAATGATATATCTCCGCCATGATTAAATATGAATCTCTCGAACTGCTTGTATTCAGGATATTTTTGAGTTCCCAAAATTATCGTTTGTTGACATAAGTGTGCTAATCCTGGAAATTTCTTTGGATTGGAATAATTGCCTGTAATAATATGTCATTTCTAATGCAGTCATATTGTTTATAATTTGGTTTATTATCAGCTAGATTATTATTTATATATCAAGTAATTATGAATAAAATATATTACATTATAAATCAATTATGTATTTTAAATTAAAAATATATTACATTATAGATCAACTGTAAAGATGTAAAAATGTTAAATTAAAATGTTTTTTACTTGCATTTTTGTCTATCTGATTAAATAATAAACAAAAAATGGATAAGTATTTTTAACAATAATTTGTGTACAAGACATAATACATATGATAAAAAAATCAAATTTAAATTTAAGACATGTAAAATATACAAAAATACTCTTTTCTTTACTTAAAAATCTACTAAAATGTCTGAATGTAAAATTATTTCATATGTTTGTGAAGATATATGTATAGAAAAAAATTATAATGCGATAAAAGAAGTGTAATATAATTATTACCGGAATTAACATCCAAAGCAACATAAGTCATAGATAGGTTTAGGTCACTTTTTAACAGCACTTTCATTTTATTGAGAAGCAATAAGCCTTTGTATGCTGCCGCGTCACTTTCATTTTTATTTATATTATATTGTTTCAACACACGTAAATTATCTTCTAATTTTTCCATCCTGATGATGACGATTTTGATAAGTCTAGCCGTAAGAGAGGCACAAAGATACTAAAGATTAGGATGTACGTCTTATATGTTGTATACGTCTCACATGGTCCGTGTTATTTGTGTTATGTTATTTGTATACCTCGATACATTTCTCTGTAAACATAATGAACCGTTGTACGACATTTGTACGTAACGAACTTTTGTAGGGAATTTGCGGAATTCTTAATGTTTTGCAATGTCGATATCTAGTGCTAAACTAAAATTATTCTCATCATGGATTTTTGTTTAAAAAAATATGCTAAGCCGATATGAATGAATGTTTCGTCATAAAAATGAAAAATTACAATTGTTAGAAGAGCAAATAAAAAAATAGTGGTTAAAAAAGTTACATGAACAGCAGAAGCAAGAAAGTAATATCGCGGTTAACAATTTTACATTCACACTAAATGGTTTAAACAGACATAATTTACTTTGACGTATACACAACGCGACAATGATTCGGTCCCGCTGGAGCTCTAACTTATCGACCTAATTTCGGCAAGGTCGGTAACATTGATGGGAGCGGACATGCCCGCGATTTAGCTGTAACTTTATTTTGAAGCGCTTCTATCTTCATAAAAACATTGGACATTGAATTACGTAATGTCCATGATCCTGTAGGTAATGTTCACGATTGCGTGGTTCTCATTTGTGCTACGTTCACGATTTTTTGTGGTTTTGTTCCGTGCTATATGCAGAAAGCAGAAGTATAATGACAATTAGTTAGATAAAGAGGGATGATCAATCTCTATCCGTCCTTGTCTCAAACGAAATCGGAAATGTGTCGTATTGATTATTTATCACAATTCTAACAAATCTCGTTAGTTACAGCAAACTTCTATGCTATAATTTCTTTTGCGTTTTTACTGATCAATTTGTAGAGGCCCTCCACCACCCCCGCCAATTTCATTTCTTGGCGGTCCTCTTTTCTTCGTATGCATATTAAAATTTTTTTATATTTATATTTTTTATATAATATAAAAAAAATTAATTACAATATAAAATATAATTTAATATTCAATAAAAAATACAAAAAAAAAGTTTAATACGAAAGAAAAAAACATCATAACACAATACAATAATATAATATATTATAATACAACATAATATATTATAATATAATATAATAATACAATTTGTATCGTTCGGTAACAAAAATTATGTATTAAAATGTTATTGTTCAGTTTTATTTCAGGAATATTTATCGAATAAAATTGATATGAATTTGTGAAGAACCTCCCCACTAATTTTGATTAACGATCCTCTTTTTTTGCACGCATGTTTTAATTTATTTTAATATTTATTAGTTATATACAATTAACTATTTTGGTACCAAACAATAC